CCCCTGTCACAGTGTCCCGAAATTGACACCCGATGGACACACGATTAAGGAAATGTTCAAATTCGGCTCTGATCGTAACAACATCGGGCCATTCGTGAGGGCATCTTAAGCCATCGTATGACCGCCGGTGGAGTTTCTCAGGCTCCGGCAGCAACTTCGTGAGCGGCAACTTCATAAGGCACTCGTGAGGGCATCTTGTCAACTCGTGAGGGCACCTTGTCAAATCGTGAGGGCATCTTGTCAAATCGTGAGGGCATCTTGTTGTCATCGGTGCCATCGGGCATTCGCCCTCACTCTGATCGGAGCGAATGCCCGATGGATCCGATGATAACAAGATGCCCTCACGATGGCCTTACGAAGGGAAAAATTGACACACGAATTCAACACGAAAATGAACCTTCGCAAGGTCCTTCGGCAATTTTTTGGCATGCCAAAGATTTTGCCAAGTCTGAAAATATCAGTACAGTATCATAGTACTTTAACATAATCGTTTTTGTTACTTTCGTTGCAGTTGTATGTCTTAAATGTAATGTAAATGTTGCTTTCGTGTGTGGTTCGGGGCCATCTTCGTGCGAAATTCACAATTCCATATTCGTGTGTCCATCGGGTGTCAATTTCGGGACAGTGTGACAGGGGCTTTAAAGAAAAACGAGCATCTGCTTGAAATGTGTTTGCCGTAAGCAGTTAAACTGTTAAACAGAGACTACTATAATACCTGGGTGTTAAGATTGGACAAATAATCCAGCTGTGGTTCTGTGCCTTGGTAATTTCAAGTCTAATGTCTTGTACTGACACGCAGTACATATCAGAGTTTTCACAACAAACAAGATAGAAATCAGCTTCTGTTTTTCCGCCGGGCTCTGTAAACAAAGTTTGGATTCATTATGATGCAATCCAAGAACAGAGATCTTTATTATGAGTGGACATGGGTCGATTATAATATCTTTCCCACTGATAAATGAGTTGCTGGAGTACGTGGGCGCAGTAAAAGAGATCTAACATCAGCAGGAGCATAAAGGACAATGGAAGCAGTGCTAACTGACTTAAATACACACAATGCTCCACTTTATCTCTTAAATGAAGGCTACCACAAGCTTTATCATTTTAGATAAGACCTGTATCTGTAATTCATCATACCACATTGGAGAATACAGTTTTATTTATTATAAAATAACATCCAGTAGGAGATATGTATTGTAAGAGGCAGGCTCATGGTGATCCTGAAGAGAGGGCAATGCAGAATGCTTTTATGGTTTTACTTGGATAAAAGCGCATTGAGGTTCACTTTCACAAGAAAGTTATGGATGAAATGTGTGTGTGTTACAGGGGAGGGGCTCTGCTGACCACCACCAGCGGTCCTGGTTTCCATCTCATGCTTCCCTTCATCACCACCTACAAGCCTGTTCAGGTGAGTCAACTGAAGTTCAGTTTTTAAAATGCCTAAAATCCTAAATCCCTTATAATCTGTACAAAGAACATCCATAACATTCATCTGTTTTACAAATTATTGATCTAATATATCATATTCCAATTACTTGTATGTAGACTCTCCTTGCACTATTTCCATTCTATTTTATTTGTTTTATTATGCACTGATGGAGGAGCCTGTGACCTAAGACTTTCATTGATATATCTACACTGCAGCTATTTACAAACTACAATAAAAGCCTTGCATCTGGAATCATACAACAGCCCGTTCTACATGCATAATCATCTGAATCCTGAACATTAAGTACATACAGATAATGCAAGAGATTTGCAAGAGAAATTTGAAATACAATTCCAGATTTGAGTTCAGACCTGCTGCAGGAATGTATTGTACTCTGGTCAAATTACATCAAATGTTTGTGAACAATGACTATAGTCTGCTCATTCAGGTCACTGCTGATCTAAACACCAGATAAAACCAAATGAATATCCAGTGTGATGTTAGTTTGAATATCCTGGAATATGAATAAACCCCTCATCTTAAATATCTCCTGGTCTATCAGCATATCCGCTAAACTCAGCTCTGAAATAAAGCACCTTTTGTGAAGGTTTGTAAGGTGATGTCAGTGTTTCCCCTAGGATGGAGTCATAGCAGCGGTGCTAAGGCACGCGGGCCCAGCAAAATNTCCAGTATTTAAAAGGAAAAATTACGTATTAAAGGTGGGGTAGGTAAGTTAGAGCATTCCATGGAATATAACAAAAAGTGTATCTCGAGCCGGTTTCTCAAACTTACCTACCCCACCTTTAATACGTAATTTTTCCTTTTAAATACTGGATATTTTGATATTGGAGGAATTTATAATTTGTGCGTGATTATTCTCATTATTATTAAAAATACATTAAAAAGGACCATAGTGTGATTTATGAATCAACGATAAGGGGATTTGCAATAAACAAACATTACAATACTTTTTCAAAATGGCACTCTAACACATATTTTGCCTGCACTAATATTGTGGTTCGTGCAATTTGAATATTACACTAGTCCATATTGCCATTGCGATAAATTGTTAATTGCATCGTTGGAGGGGCATTGGACTTTTATGGCCACATTTTGTATATATATATATCTGTATATTGTGGATATGCAAATAAAGCCTATGAGTCCTGAAACCTCTGTGTCCTGCGGAACAGGTGCAGTTGGCTCCTCGCTCTCTTTGTTATCTCCTCTCAGTGCAGGCTTAGGAGACATCAGCTAGGACTTAGTGACCTTAAAGAGGATTGCGGCTAAAGTGTGAAGACGGTGTAACCTCACGTCAGACATTAAGTGACATTTGCTGGTATCATGTACAAAACAATGTACATTCACATAAACGTGATGATGTTAATTTAAGCTGAAAGATAAATTGCTTTGGTTGGGAAGGATTTGCAAAGATATAAGCTGGTGACCTTCAGAGACAGCAGTGTTTTTACAACCCCTCTTTGTATGTTTGAGTAAATGTAATACAGATATTTTAGTTTTTATAAATAAGATTTTTGTGGATTGTGGCTTTTTTTTCTTCTTAAGACACTGGTATGCAACTATTTGGGTTGATGCTGGTCATATGTTTCTTCGGATGTCTAAATAAAACAGAAATAAACAAAGATAGAGTGGCATTTTAATTTATAATCTACTTGTTTGCAACACGAAATGCATGCTATGATAGCATGGCAAACGTTAGATAATCTTTAAAATGCATGTAGCTTTGCAGCAGTGACTTCCTGCATGGACAAAACGGGAGGAAGTGATTACTCAGAAATCTGGTAACGATATCGCTGCAAAAGGCACAAAAGGGTTAAGTTAGAAAAGTTAAATCTTGCACGAAAATAAATTATCTTCATGTATTTTCAGAATATAAATCATCGATCAAACAGAAGCCTTTCAGTTTCTAAAAACAAAGCTTCCCCTGCTTCACGGAAACGAAAGCTACAACGGATCAAAGTCCAACGTTATTAAAAAAACACTCAATTCAAAGGCAACCTGGGTATGCCGAATGACAAAGGGGAATTTAAAGATGTGTATACAGTCGTAAAATTATAGGATTAACAAAGATATGGATCACTTATCCGAAAAATAACTTTAAATATACAAACCTGTGAGGGGAGTTTGGTTGTGTGGCGTTGGGAGGAGGCTCTGATATCATAATGTGAATTATGTTAGTCCTGCTTAAAACAGGGAGTATTTTCCAACTGCAGACAGTTTGAAAATATTATCAGTTACTTATATTTCACAACAAAGCTTACTTTACATTTCACTGTCGCCGTAAAAGCTGTACAGTCAGCGACACATATCAATCATCCCATGTAGTATTAATCAGAAGATGAAACCAGAGTCTTTGTTTATAAAGATGGTAAAAAACAGTGTTATTTTTTATTAGAAGATCTTACCTGTAATTTCAGCAGAGAGGACACGAGCAAACAGAAAACAAGCAGGCACCTCCAGAGGCACCTGCAACCGTCTTCTTCTACGGTGGAGTTTGACCGTTGGCGTAGAACGTGTGGCGTTAGCGCCCCCTTGTGCGTGCGTGGAAGACTAACTGTCTCTCAATTTCTATTTATTTTATTTATTTTATTTATTTATTTATTTATTTATTTTATTTTATTTATTTTATTTATTTTATTTATTTTATTTATTTTATTTATTTATTTTATTTATTTTATTTATTTATTTTAAATTGTATATATATATATCTATGTTATTGTATTTTTTACTGTAATGGCAATTCAACAAAAAGACAGGACAAATTGTATTATTTATCATTTTTGGTTTAACAAAATTGATGAACGTTATCGATTTATAAACACAACACTGTTCAATCCAGGCAAACACGCACAAAGTTAATATGTGTGCCATATTGCTGTAGATCTTGGTACAATTGACTGAAACTTGGTTTTGAGTCATGTCCAGTTCTTCTTCTCTTTTCC